CACAGCAACCTCCAACTCCTGGGCTCAAGCGAGTCTCCTGCCTCAGCCTCCCAAGTAGCTGGGACCACAGGCACCTGCCACAACGCCCGGCTATTTTTTTTTTGGTTGCAGCCGTCATTGTTGTTTGGCGGGTCCGGCTGGGGATTCGAACCCGCCACCCTAGGTGTATGTGGCTGGCGCCTCAGCCGGTTGAGCTATAGGCGTGGAGCCAAAATGACATTTCTTAACCACCTGAGAGAATGGACTGATACTGATACTCACCTGTGCTAGCAGCACAGCCCAGTAGAACTCTCCAGAATGGTGGAAATGTCCTGCATTGTCCAATGGAATAGCCCCACCAGCCTCATGGGGCTAATGAGAACTTGAAATGTGCCCAGCATGCCTGAGAAACTAAATTCTTAACCTCATTCAATTTTAATTAATTTTAAATCTGAATAGCCACACATGGCTCGCAGCCACTGTAATGGATGTGCAGTAGAGTGTCTCTTGTTACATCAATCTGTCACTCAACAAACGTCGGGGTCTACTGGGTGCCAGGCCACGTTCAAGGGTATTTAACCAAGCCTTCCACCTCCCTTTCCCCATGGAGCACACAGGCAAGTGGCTGAGGCAGACACTCCAGTTAATAGGTTATTGCAAACTGTGGTCCATGCAGTGAAGGACAGGCTGGTAGGAGAGAGTATAATGTGGCCCCTCATTGAGATTTAGGAGTCCTCTCAGGAAAGGGGGCAGGATAAAAGCCAAGAGATAAGAGTCTGACTGAAGTTGGCGTATCTGCAGCCACAGGCTTGAGAGAAGGAAAGAGCAGGAGTTGAGATTGGAGAGGTGAGAAAGATCCCCCTTGTCACGCCCCACAGGCCAGGGTGGGGAATTTTATTTTATCCTGAGTGGTGTGAGCAGATTTCCACTGGTAAAAGACCGATCCAGGAGCTGCCTGGAGAATGGCACAGAGGCCAGAGGGAAGGGGTGGAGGCCCACAGGAGCTGTCACCAGGTCTAGGGTCAGGGGGATGGTGACAGGACTCAGGCCAAGCTGGAGGCGGCTGGGAGGGAGAGTGTAAAGGGCTGTGGCTGTTGGGGGAGAAGAGTAGGTGTAGTGACAGACAGGATGTGGGAGGGGACAGAGAGGACTGGGGGGGCTGGGAGGGAAACGCTCGATCCCCAACGGATCCCCCAGCACACTTCTCAGTCGGTGCCACCATGTCTTAAATCTAGGGATCTGCTCCCCAACCGATCATGGAAGGCACCAGGGAGTGGGTCATTCCTTTTTTATCATTACTATTATTTTATCTTATTAATATTTTACATACTTACAGGGCACATGTGATTTTTTTGCATTATGGACTAGCCAAACCTGGGAGATATGACCGATAGATAGATAGATAGATAGATAGATAGATAGATAGGCAGATAGATATATTGATAGATAGATAGATAGATAGATAGATAGATAGATAGATAGATAGATAAACAGATAGATATATTGGTAGATAGATAGAGAGAGAGAGAGACAAACAGACAGACAGATATATTGGTCATATCTCTCAGGTCTGGCTAGTCCATAATGCAGTTGTGACTCCTTCAAACTCCTCAAACTCTGCTTGAGGTAAGCCTAGACCCCTAGATGGGCTTGGGTTGGACTTTCCTCTTTCCTACAACCTACTGAACCCGTCTAAGCTCTCAGCTGTGTACCTTTCTCCGTCTGGGTGGCTCAATGGCAGGGCCCCTAGAATTGAGACATAGCTAAGAAATCTGAAACATCAGTGAGACACCCCCCCACAACCAGGGACCACCTGGGACAAAGGCACTTTAGCCTAAGGAAAGAGAAAGTATAATTTATAA